GGTGATGAGCTGTGTCTCTACTCCCCTCAAGAGTCAGAGCTGCTGAATTATGTTTTAATATGCCCATACAAACATCTTTTAGAAAGTTTTGTTCCATCCCCAGTGACTGCTGCTGGTTTGTGTGGCATATAGAGTCTTACTAATTACAATGATTTACAGTCTTTGGCATCTAGGTATTTTCCCCATTAGAGAGACTATTGTCTAAGCAGCTTTGAAATGTTTACCTCACGCTCATCAGGGAGTTGGACATTGCTTATTGTTGGCATGTTGCACAGCGAACCCCCATCAGGCTAGATATGGGATCTGGAAGAAATGAGGTGGGAGGTGGAGCTTCTCCTGTGGGAGATGAAACTTGGCTGCTGTTGCTTATCCATAGCAGAGAATACTGCATCCCAAATTCCTTCCATTCTGTTTCAGTTTAGTGAGGGGGCAAAATCCTCTTAACATTGCCTTAACCTCCAGCTACACAGTACCACAGTGTTACCCAGCCTGGGCTATTTCACGTGCAGGAATATGCAAAGCAGACAGGAGAACCTGTCTGCAGTGAGGCATTTTTCTGGCAAACTTGATACACCAAATATGGATCCCTACCCTCATTGCTTCATCACCACCCTGTGATGTTTGGCCCCAAAGCTAAAGTGGCTTTTGCTGCAAAAAAACACACTGACAGCTCCTTGTAAGTAGGGCAAGAGTGGATTAGTGCAGGCATTTTGCGGCGGAAGGCTCTGGAGTCTCACCTGCACAGCCACACGATTGCATTCGTGTCCTGCTTTAACGCCCTTGAGCATCTTTTATCTTCTAAATTCTAAAGGCCTGTTTTTTCCTCTACCTACACAGGCAAGAGAGAGCAAAATCAAACAGAAATGGGATGGAGAGGATGGGAGAAAAATAGTGGCTGCTGCATCCCTGTCCCCTCTTAGGAGCCTATAGGGCATGTCTGCTCCCAAGCAGCAAATTGCAAAGGTCTCTACCATGGTCTGCTGCTTGCAGTATCCACAACTCCTTAGGGAATGGACAGTGCAGCTGGAAACAGGGAACCTGGCAGCCAGATGGCCTCTTCTTCGAGAACTTGTGCATATTCTGGGAAGTGCACAGTCTGGACCTTGCTTCTTCCACTTGCTGTGCTGCTCAGCAGGACCTTTTTTGCTCTGGGAGGAGCACCCCCTGCAAATGCTGCAACATTCTTTGGTACATTTCCTGGGACATCTTAGCTGTTCAACATCATTTTACATATTTGCACTTCTGCAAGTTCAATGTAGCAAATTTTTTTTGTTTCACTTACAATTTTTGTATTATCTTGTCACTTAAAATCAAGCTATTCCACATTTAAAATAAAAGAAGGATAAGGATAAAATGCATCTCATATCTATTAAACTTCATCTAAATATGTTTTAATGGAAAAAGTACTGGCCACCCATGCTACACTCCGGCTTAGTATTCAGATTTTGATAACTTTTCCAAAGATTTTTTCCTAAAGTTGCTCATTTGAAGTACTTAGCTGAAATAAGGGTGGGCTGCTTTTTTTTTGGCTAGTTTCATTTTTCTCCATTTCTGTTGATTACTAACTCTACACTGTATTGCTTAGGCATGGAAATTTAAACAGTAATGTAAAATTAAGGTGTGCAACCTGGCATCCAATTTCATACTCTCTCTCTCCGTCATACTCTTGTAGTCACCATCAGTCTTCCAGTTAATAAACTATTTGGACTGCCCTTCAGCTCTCCTCTTTTGAGAGAACCTGAGTAAAGTGAATTGTCACAAATCCTGCAAAGCTTGGACTTCTTGTCTGGGTACCTCCAGCACTAAGAGAGACCTGTCTACCTCACAAGAACAGGAATAGAGGTTTTGATGTACTGACTGGGATAAGCGGTTGTGGTAGATCATGAGTGGAGTCACAGCTCCCCAGACAGCACAGGGAAGATGCGTTCACATCAGGACTCACACCTTAAACCCTCCTACCTATCTGATTCACCTAGGCCTGAGTAGGTGTCTGTGCATTGGTGTGACGTGCATTTCTCCACAGGCTGTAAGTCAAGGTGTGTGAAGTTATGTCTTTAGAACAGTCTGAAATATTTCTATTTGAAGGTAACAGAGAACAGTCTGAATTATTTCAGTTTGAAGGAAGTTCAAGTTATAATCATAACGACCTCCACAGGTTGTTGGCCCATGGAGATGGAAAAAATCCTAAGATGCTTTACTCAATGAAAAGGAGCATGGAATACCACTAATGATCATTACCAGGGCATTGAGGAACAGCCATCATTTCTGTGGGATGGTAAAACTGTCAAGTGCATTGCTCAGTGGTAGATACAAGCACATAACTGAGAGAGAGATGGTGTTATTTTATAACTTAGCTTTTTCCCACTTCATTGATACTGGTTTTGCATTTCCTAGATTGAGTTTATGTCACTTTACCATAGTGCTTGAAAACATGTACATGTTTGCCTGAGAGGAGAAACAGATCCAGTTGTGTTGGAGAGGTAACCTTGTATTTAAGTCAAAAAAAGCCTGTTGAAACGGGTTACATCACCGGGTAAAGAAGCCAACTCCTTCCATTGCGGAGAACAAGACGAATAAGCACAACCCATTGAAGGAATCTTACTGACCTTGTAGATTGATAGTATAAAGAAAGGGACTGCCTTTTACCTCTCCTTGTGGCCAAGGGGAGCCCTTCCAACAGCATGACTTCACTGTCTTCATGTGTTTGCCAATCCTCAAACCAGCCTAGGAGGGAGCTATGCCATCAATATAGCTCAGCTGTTGCTAATGTTGCCTTGATGATGCTTTCTCAGAACGGTGCCTAGAACTGAAGAGCAGCTCATGAAACTTCTAGCACTGAATAGTAATTTCTGAGAATTCATGGCTTTTCGGGTTGGCTTGGTAGCATAACTTTTCTAGGGATTGGCAGTTCCAGTCTATCTTCTTAACATGTTAGATCCCAGTCATTTTGAGACAAAATGTTACCAGAAATAAAGCCTTCAGAAACTTTACTGTGTTGAGCTTGAGGTTACTCCTAAAAATGAATGAATGTCCCAGGATACTCATTTTCCTTCTAATTGGATCTTGCTTCTCTTTTAGATCCCTACTGGAGAGAGTATAGATTGGTACTGAAGCATAGAAGACAGTTTTCTAAATCTGGCTTCTAAACTGAGTGACTTAAATTCCAGACTGGTCAGAAGTGTGTATGTGCAGTTGAACATGCAGTTGTGTTTTACCACAGCAGTACTACTTCACAAAAAGCTACAAGTTTTTGCCACATTAATAGACGAGGGTCAGCTGTGGTCAGGACAACAGAAATCAAAAGGAAAAGGGGACAAAGGTTAAAGGTTAAAGGCTCAAGTTGAAAATAAAAAAATACAGATCGCCTTTCTGTTCTCCTGCAGACAAGCTTTATCCCTGAAATAGACAGAAGCACTTTTAAAGAGATGTTTATTTAAGCTGTGTAGCAGTTTGGATGATGTGTGCATTGCAAAAAAAACCCCTGCCAGTAACCTGTAAAAACTAGGCAAGTAAAAACCTACTTTCACGCAGAGCTTCCTGAACTATATCTGACATTCAAGCAATGCAGGTCTGAATTCTCAGTCTCTCTTACGTTAGCTGTTAAGATGGGAGAGCAGTTTCCCCCTGTGCTTTGTGTTGTGCCACATAGCTGAAAGCGAGGGTATGTAGGGCCTTCTTACCTTATGTGACCTGCTCCACGGAGGACAGAGGGTCCAAGAGGTGACATTATCTTGTCACACCTGAGTTATCCAAATCATGGTTTAATGAGGACTTCTAGAGACTTTTATGGAAGTATTCTTAGTTAGTTAGTTTAAAAATCTGTAACGGGTAGCTCTGCCTCATCCAAAAATTACAGAAGCCAGTATACCAGCCAAACACAGAGGGTTTCTAATAGCTGGGAGAGTTGCAGTGGAAGTGGTTAGCAGCAGGAGCCAGGTAACCTACATTCCAACAAGAGGAAGTTTTAGATTAAAGGAGTTCTGATAAACAGGGTTTTGCTATGCTTCTCCAGCCAACTACAAATGCAGTAGGCACTAATGATGACATTAATTATTTAACATAATTTTCCTTGATATTCTTCCGTTTTCCACTCACTACCTAAGTTTCCAGATATGTGTGTTTAAATGATATAATAACTAAGGACGAAGCAGTAGGTCCCTTGTAACTTAAAGCAGTATCTTATCTGTTGTGTATCCTGGCTTTTTGTAATGAACATGTAATGCTTTGTAGTCAAGCTTTTCAGAGGAATGCTGTTGTCATCTTTCCTCTCTGTAAAAGCCCCTCTGCTCCCGACACTTTAATTGCACAGTTGCCTAAATGAGGCACTGCAGAGTGTTAATGTATTAGTCTGAGCGACAACACGCTCCTCTTTTCACAGAGCTTTTGCCCTTGATCGTGAATGTAACAGAGCACGTACCTTAAAAATAACTGGAGATTCAAGGGGAATCTCTACACTTATCCTCTTGCATAAGGTTTGTTGTCACAGGGATCCTTCAACAGTAACTCATATTCTTTCTCTGGGAATAATAAGCATCGCAATTAGTGAACTAGTTAATAACTGTGTGGTTGGGGAGGACAGCAGAGGCATTTCTGTGTATGTGAAAGCGGAGTGTTCAGTGTCCACATGGTCTAACGCAAACAAAAAAAAAAAAAAAAAGAACAGGCTTGAAATCCTGCCTGCAGCCTCCCTTCTTGAAAGCTGCCCCTCCGGCTTTTCCTCGACGAAGGGGCAGGATGTTTTCGTTCCCTCCATGGCCATTCTCCCTCGCTTTCTCCCGGGAGCCGGGCACAGCCGACAGCCCCGGGGGAGAGGAGTTTGGGGGCGAGGGCTGGCGGAGCTGATGTCAGCGCCGGGCGGCGGGAGCGATTGGGCTGCGGGAGACTTTGCAGCAGCAAATCCGCCCCCCTCGCCCCCCCCTCCCACCCTCGCACCATCGTCTTCAAAGCGGCCGGTGCCCAGCAACTCGCAGAGGTGCAAAAAGTGGGCGCGGGGCCGGCAGAGCCGCGGCGGCGCCCCCGGGCATCGCCCCGGCCGGGCCCGGCACGTCGGGGCGGAGGCGCGACCCTCTCGCGGCGACGGCAGCGCCGAGCGGAGCCGAGGCACAGCCCCGCCACAGCCCCGCCGGCCCGACCCACCGCCCTATAAAAACCGCCTCCAGAAAAGAGGAGAAACTCCGAGGGAGGAGAACACCTCGGCGCGGTGCTGCTCGCTGAGGTACCGGCATGACATCCGTCCTGGGCAGCGGCAGGGCGTCGGGAGGACCGAGCGGGCAGCTGAGATGCAAGTCCAAGAGAAGGAGGAGGAGGAGATCAAAGAGGAAAGGTAAGAGAGGCGGGTTTTTTTTCTTCTTCTTTTTTTTTTTTCTTCCTTTTCCCACTCTCGCTGCCTGCCTCCTGCACAGCATCGGCTGCTCCCGGGTTTATTGTCAGTGTGCCCGGCACTCGCCGGCACCAGCCCTGCGCTGCCCCGACGGCCGAGGCGGGGCGGGTAGTGCCTTCCCCGTCACCAGCGGGGTCGAGAGGGGCCCCCGCTGTCCCCGCGGCGGGGCAGAGCCCACTCCCCTCCCCTCGTTGCGTCGGGCCGAGGCTGAACCTCACGGGGGTGCCGCCGGGGGGGGTTGGCAGGCCCCGTCCAAGGCAGGGCGGTGCAGCGGAGCTGTCCCGGGGCTCCACCAGCCCCGGCTCTGCCATCAGGTGCCATCAGCCTCCCCCCGAGCCTCCGGTGCCCGCGGGCAGGAGGTGCCGCCGCCCGGGCAGAGCGCGACGCGGAGCCCTTTGGGGCTGTCGCGCCCACCAAACTACTGCTTTTTTAATTTTTTAGACGAGGCCCACCAAGTTTTTCTGTTTTGGTGCTGTTCCCTGTCCCTAAGCAAACCCTGGTTAGGAAGGCGCTAATTTACCATAAGCAGGAAAAGTGAAGCTACAGGGTGTCATTGCAGACAGGGAATATGCCCTAGATAACAGCTCTTCGCAAGGTTGTCTGCTTTCTCCTGTAGAAGGGATGGCACACTACTGCCTGATTTTTGATGGTTTGCCTGCAAAAGCCGAAGTTAACAGGCTGTGAGCACTTAAAAGTAAAATAAACTGCTACGAGGAGCAGAGTGCCAGAGATGCCCAGCTGCAAGGCATTCGACTGCAGAGATGCAAAGTACGAGTGTATGTCTAAGCAGTAAATATAATCTAATCTGTAATTGTCATCTTTATGTGGTACTCACACAAGTTTTAGTCAGCTAGCTCGCAAGCTGATGCTCTGGATACTCTGTTTCTCTTTCTGAGTCTAGAAAACCTAACTTGTAGGTGCAATTAGCTAAGAGTCTCTTAATTGTTGATTATGTTAAAGCCCGTAAGTGCGGTATTTAATAACTTTTCAGAAAGGTGTCAAAACCGCTTTTGTATAGTAACTAGAAAAAAAACAGGCAAATGCTAAATTCAAGACTGTATCATTTGATTGTCATTTTTTCATTCGTGAACTCTCTACATTCAAAATCATAGTAACAAAGACTAACCTGCGAACAAGTAGAAACAACAGACGCACAGATATATGAGGAGTTCAAGTAACTGTGTAACCTTGACTTGTTACTCTGGACGTTTAACACTTGGTGAGAAGGCTGCCTTTTATTCTGCATTAAGGAATAAATTTGAAAATGCTAAGAAAGAGAGAGCTCCCCTAGTCAGTCCCTTTAAATTTCCTTGTACTCAAGTTGTGCTCTGCAGACTTTTTATGTGCTGATTTGTTTTAGCAAAACTACTTTTCTAGGGAATTCCAAACTTAGCCTAGCTTTAGCTACTTGGCTGGGAAAAAAGAGTAATCCATTAATCTCTGCAATGGAGGAAAGGTGCTTTGTTATACAGGTAAATTATAAGTGTTAATTTAGTTTCTAAGAAGCAGATAAAAGTGAGGATCTTTCAATAAGACTTTTCTGATGCATCCTTTCTTGCTCTGTTTTGCCAAAACAAGGTGAAAGTTGAATGTCTTTTAAAAAAAAAAAAAAATAAAACAATAAAAAGTTGCTCCACTATAACTTAGTAGCTGACAGCTATTTGCAGAATGCATGGCTGGAGGTGAATGGTATTCCAGAAAGTGCTTGACTGACCAATATCAATAAGAATGTACACTTGAAGAGTTCATTGTTTATTCTTCCAAATGTGCTATTGTAACCACTTTTCAAATAATGTAGTTGGTTAGTATACTAATTACAGGCTTGTGTTGGTATGATTTTTATTTTCTTTTCTATATAATCACAGTATATATTCATAAATATACACATTCATCTAAATTTGTGCTGGCAAAAAAAATCCTATAACTTAGGCACACCCAGTATAAAACCTGTTGGATTTTACTATTATGTTACTTTATTTACTGAACATATATTTCTGCTTTTTTTTTTTTTTTCTGATGGCATCAAATGAAAAGGTGTTGTTTAACAGACTATCTTGGAAACTAGTCAAGACAACGTTTATTAGGCTTGTAAATTACTGTGTCTTTATGAGAATGATTGTGGGCCCCACTCTTTTGCAGGTTTGATCTATTTACTAAATTGTGAAAAATCTTTGCAGAGAGTTAGACCAAAGACACTTGCCTTTAAATATTCTCCAGCACACACTTTGCTCTTTATAGCAGGAAGGCTTTTAGTAGATGCTTTAAAGTATATCTAGACATATATGTTTACACACACACACACAGAGATACCTATGGACACGTGTAGACAAAGAAATTCACTATGGTGTTAAATTTAAATTATTAGACAGAGTAAGGAAAGGAAATTATCTGTCAAATCCCCAATCCTTAAGGAGATAGACTCAACAAATTATTTATACAACTTAATATATTTTATTACACATGTTACATATGAACTGTGCCTAAAACCAGGTTGAGACGCCACCTGATAGAATATATAGTAATGTGCAGTAGTAGAAACAATTATTATTTTCTATTTAATAGTGTTGCTTATCCTCATCTGATTTATTTTCCATCTTCTCAGTCATATTTTTTGTTCTGGTTAGTGTGAATTATAAATTACTGTGTCTGGGTATAAGCACTTCGCTCTGTTTCTTTTATAATAAGAACTTCGCTCCGTTTCTTTTATACCTGGATACCCTGTTTTAGGAGTTTCCTGGGGGCAGAAAGCAAGTTCAAGCAAGGAAAGCAAACAGTGTTCTCTGAATAGCTGAATTTCCTCGTGCATTTAGCCTAAAAAACCAATAATAAATATGTGCTGCAAGAATCAGAGAGAGAGATGATTTCTGTATATGCAAATCAAGCACTGAAAAGTGTAGGACACTGAGTATGATTCCACTGTACAATATCATCGTCCAATAATTAATTTGCATGCATCTTATTTTTATGCTTATGAAATCCCACAACCTTTTCAGCGTAAAGATCCTGCCTTGAAGACTTAACAATAAATGTCCATGCAATGAATGTCATATTCCAAGCATATATTTGCAGAGTGATTTCACTCAGTTTTACACCCTATGCAGGATGCGTGCTAAAAAGATAAAATATGAATACTCAGAGCTATTTGATAAATTAGTACAGGTAGAAATATTTTCATTGTCATTTAGAAAATAAGTGTGATAACTCCTAGTGGGAAGTAAGTATCTTAATTTTTCAAATACCTAATGAAAAATAAATACAGATGCTTATGAGATCATCTGCATACTAATTCCGTGTAGGAGCAGTAATAGATATTTTATATTTTTTTGTCTCTCTGTCCATTTGGTTGGTTTTGTGGGGGTTTTTTTGGTTTTTGTTGTTTTTGTTGTTTTGGGGTTTTTTTTATCAATGCATACAAAATGACCAGAGGTTAGAAAACTATGCCTAATATTTTAGAGGGATCCATTTAAAATTTTTAGGTTTTTATAGGCAGTTACTGTGTTTGTGGGTTCTTGTTGTGTTTTCTGCAGGGCTTTGGAATATGGCAGAGTACTGGCAGAACTCAGCACAGCGGCCTCAGCACAGCTTGTGCCGATTTCATAGCCTGTGGTATAGATTTTGAAAACATGGCTTGTTTTCCCAGATAAGTGATTACAAGTAGATCAAACAAAAGCAGAGTTGCCATTTACTGATAATACTAAAACGGCTACACTTCAGCAGCCTTTCAGCAGCATCATTTTAGAAATCAACATATAGACAGTAAGTATGAAATGGGTGATTGGATATATACCCATTCTGAGTGATTTTCCAGTACAAGACAACAAATAAGTCACCTTATTTGTAATGCTTTTTATAGAGCTAATGAATAAAGTTAATTACTGGAAACAGGAGAGGACATCAGGTATCCCTGATGTGGTAGAAAACCATGGCTGAGGTCGCTGCAGATACAATGGGACACGAAATAAGAGTTGACAGAATAAACTAAATAAGGGCAGCAAATTGGTGAGAGAGGCAAAACGATTGTGAAATGAAATTCCATGAAAAATTAATGAAATAGAAAGATTGTACTGTAGATGAAGGGAGCAAGCCAGCTTGGTTCTTCATCATCCTGCAATGCCAAAGTAATAAATGAGTGTGTTTCATCTTGGCGAGGTTCAGGGACACAACTCCTTCCCTACAAAAGGATTGCGTTGTGCTTCAAGATGTGTTCCGCTTATCTTGTGCCCTGACAGCTCAAGAGGAAGGGACTGGATTTGGTGATAAAATTAAATTGATTAAACCTTTATCCATCATCTAATTTGGTAGCTTTCTTTTTCCTTTTCTTTTTTACTATTACCTCCAATTTCTGGTGATCCGTGTAATGACAGCAATTTGAGATAGCATCAAGGACATTAGCTACGATGACTGAACTTAAATTTAGAATAAAAATATGGGATTCATGAGTCCATATCTAAATAGCAGATGATTAGGTTATAGCAGAACTGTAACTTCCTAGCAACAGCATGTAATTGTGAGGACAATAAAATGATGTCTTTTACTTCTAAGGAATAAAATATGTCAACTTTATCTCAAAAAAGTATTAATTATGTAAGTAGAAAAAGCACCGGTATGAATAGTGACCACATCTTACATGAACAATGATGTATATAGCCATTTTTATATTTCTGAACTCAGAAATTGTCAGATGTTTTGCTTTCTTCAGTGCCAAAACGCAGGCATATAAAGCTAGTGGCAAAGGACCATACTGTTGGAAATTGTTTCATATGGCTTAAAATTTTGTAACTTCTCCTTAGTGATTTTGGTAGTAAAATTCTCCCATAAGGGGAGAGCTTTGCTTACGAGTTCCAGTTTAAGTGCTATTAATGGAGTTTTTAAAATACTTAAAGGCAACCTTTTCTGAAGTGATACCCTACAAATTGAAAATACTGCACTAAAAATTACAGGTC